TGGAGTCAGCCTCCACCACATCACTACCTGGTGCATTCCATTTACTAACTACTCTGACACTGAAGAAGTTCTTTGTAATGTCTCTGTGGCTCTTTTGGGTACTGAGCTTCCACCTGTGTCCCCTTGTGCGTGTACTTCCCGTGTTAAATAGTCTATCCTTGTCTAGCCCTGTCAATTCCCCTGAAAATTTTGTATGTGGTGATCATGTCTCCTCGAGCTCTTCTGTCTTCCAGCGACGTGAGATGCAGTTCACGCAGCTGTTCCTCATAACTCATTCCTCTTAGTTCTGGAAATAACCTAGTGGCATATCTCTGAATTTTTTCCAGCTTCGTCTTGTGCTTGACAAGGTACGAGCTCGATGCTGGGGCCGCATACTCCAGGATTGGTCTTACATATGTGGTATACAAGGTTCTGAAAGATTCCTTACACAGGTTTCTGAAAACATGTTTCATGCACACACATGTATGTACGTGCATCGAATTTCCCCCCAAAAAGACGGCAATTCGGCAGGCACCGCCAAAAGAACACACCTGCTAAATTTCAAATTTTCGATTTTCATAATTATGCCATAAAATTATGTCTGGTATGTTATTTTATTTTATTATTTATTTATTTATTTATTTATTTATTTATTTATTTTATTTATTTATATACAAGAAGGTACATTGGGTTTGTGAGAATACATAGCATGGTACAGTAATGGCACTCTTGTAAAACCACTAGTACGCGCTGCGTTTCGGGCAGGTCCTTAATCTAACAGATAATTTTAAGTAGGTAAATTCTATCAGAATTAATAAAATGATAACAAATATATTGCAAAAAAAAATGAGATGAGAGAGATTAGTAAGTATATTAAAGCACATTGGTATATTAAAGCTCTGATTGATTACATTGACAGCTTGATTGGTAATTTAAACAAGATTAATAGACACCATACAGCAGATTGACAGTACACATAAGACAGCAATGATCACAATGATAAAGATGTTCAGATGGGGTACATATGTTACCTATCGTTCGTTACGGCTCGTGACCCTACAACAGCCAAACATTAAATGTCTAGGGTTACTACAACTGCTGTTGTCTAAAGCGGGTCACCAGTGTAACCCCATGAATGATAACAGGCAAATAATTAAAAGTATTTCTCCCTTAGGACTGAAGAAATATACGTATGCATTTATATATATATATATATATATATATATATATATATATATATATATATATATATATATATATATATATATATATATATATATATATATAATCAAATTAATCAATATAATCAAAATTATATTTAGTACAGATGGACAAGATCAATTATAAAACAAAATCAGAAATACTGTTCCTCCCAGAATAAAGATCTACTAAATGACACAACAACAAGTAAACAGACTTATCTCCCAGAGATGTTAACTCTCCTGGTCCGTTATAGCTACTAACTCTCGCGCGCCGTCTCTACCCATAACTCTCTCCCCCTCTGCCTCATCCAGGATGAGGGTTTAAAAATACAGACTTTTTAATATTTAAAACTAATTGAACAACCACTTGTTCTCAAAATACATAAGAATGCAAATTAAATATAATAGTTACTTTCAAAATATATAAGTTACAATGCCACCTGCTTAATTACAGTAAATTAATACAATATATAAAAAGTAAAAGTGACATCTGGAACTCCCATAACTGAACAGGTCCAGCAATTCTAATTTCCCGAATCTAAGAGGTATTAGACGTGTGAAGAGCAACCGCGCTCCTGTCCCCACTGACATTGCCACACCACACGATAATTTGCAAAAATATAATATGTGTACATATACAGGTAATGATATAATGGAACAAAATAAGTTTATTTAAATTTATATACGTATCCAGCTAGGAGTACGTAACAACATAAAGATTGGGAGATTGGGTAGCAATAGATACAGTGCAGTTTTAAATCAAAAGGTAAAAAACTATGAAGATGAAATTAGGTACTTTTTAGTATTGTTTTTGAATGATGCAAAAGTTGGACAGCTTTTCAATTCAATAGGGAGTGAGTTCCATAGACTGGGTCCCTTTATTTGCATAGAGTGTTTACACAAATTAAGTTTGACTCTGGGGATATCAAAGAGATATTTATTTCTGGTGTGGTGATATTGGGTCCTATTACATCTATCCAGGGAGAGTTTCAGAGCAGGATTTGCATTTAAGAACAGGGTTTTGTAAATGTAGTTGACACAGGAGAATTTGTGGAGTGAGATTATGTTTAGCATGTTTAGGGAGTTAAACAAGGGGGCTGAGTGTTGTCTGAAAGCAGAATTTGTTATTATTCTGATAGCAGATTTTTGCTGGGTAATGATGGACTTGAGATAGTTTGCAGTGGTTGAACCCCATGCACAGATACCATAATTAAGATAGGGATAGATTAGTGCATAATATAGAGAGATGAGAGCAGAGTTACATAATATCTGATTTTGAGAGGTACAGAGAGGTACATAATATCTGATTTTGGAGAGAATACCAACTGTTTTAGAGACTTTCTTAGTTATGTGTTGTATGTGGGTACTGAAGTTGAGTCTCTTGTCTAGGAATAGGCCAAGAAACTTTCCATCATTTTTATTGCTAATGTTTACATTGTCTATCTGAAGCTGAATTGCATTTGTAGATTTACTTCCAAATAAGATGTAGTAGGTCTTTTCTATGTTAAGTGTTAGTTTGTTGGTTGACATCCATAAGTGGACTTTTTTTAGTTCATTATTAACAACATTATTTAGTGTATGTGGGTTGGGGTTAGAGTAGATGAGGGTAGTATCATCAGCAAACAAAATAGGTTTCAGAATGTTAGAGATGTTAGGCAGATCATTGATGTAAATAAGAAATAAGAGAGGTCCCAAAATGCTGCCCTGTGGCACTCCAACGGTTATTGGTAGAGTGGGAGAGGTTATATTATTGATGGCTACACATTGGTGTCTATCACTAAGATAGGATTGGATATAGTCCAGTGTATGGCCTCGAATTCCATAATGATGGAGTTTACGTAAGAGGTAATTGTGATTAACAGTATCAAAGGCCTTTCTCAGGTCAACGACGAGTCCAATCGGAAACTCATTTTTGTCAAGGGCTGAGTAAATTATATCAAGGAGACTAATAATTGCATCGTTGGTACTCTTTTGGGAGCGGAAGCCAAACTGACAGGGGCTAAGAATGTCAAATTTTACGAGGTAGGAGTAAAGCTGTTTGTAGATAATTTTTTCAAATATTTTTGATAGTATGGGTAGGTTTGATATTGGTCTATAATTGTTTATGTCTGCCGGATTACCTCCTTTATGAACTGGTGTTACTCTTGCTTTTTTAAAGATATCAGGGAAGGTATGACACTCAAGGGATTTGTTGAACAGCAGTGCTATAGGTGGGGCAAGGGCATGGGAGGCGCTCTTGTATATAATGGATGGTATTTCACTGATATTCCCAGCTTTGGTTTTTAGTGAGTGTATGATGGACACAACATCTGACGGGCTGACTGGTGAAAGGAGAAGAGAGTTTGGATAGCTGCCTGAGAGATATGTGTTGATATGTGTCTGAGTCTGTGGGATTTTACTGGCAAGGTTAGCACCAACCAATGAAAAGAAGCTATTAAATTCATTCGCCATTTCTAAATCAGATGACGGTGTAAGGCCATCCTTAGAGAGTGTTATCTGGTTGTGGGAGTGTTGTTTAGTTCCTAGGATATTAGAGATGGTTTTCCATGTTGCCTTTTGCTTCTTTGAATCTAGTCTCATAATATGAAAGTTTAGCTTTTCTTATGATACTGGTAAGCACTGATGAGTACCTCTTAACTACTTCCTTTGTAACTAGGCCAAACCTAAATTTCTTTTCATATTCGTGTTTTTTGTTGATTGATTTGATTATGCCACTTGTGAGCCACGGGTTATTTTTTCTTTTATCAGTTACTTGTTTGGTAAGGAGGGGACAGTGAGTGTTGTAGAGGCTTAGAGTTTTGGAGAGAAAGAGGTTAGTTGATGAGTTTATATCCTGAGAATTATTAAATTCAGATTCCCAGTTAATATTATGAAGTGCATTAGAAAGATTGCCTAAAGCTGATTCACTGTGTAGCCTGAATGAGAGTTTCTTGCTTTCTGATGGTGCTGTGTCCATGTTTGCTATGAGGAAGGTAGGATAGTGGTCAGTTGTTCTGTCATAGATTACCCCAGATGTAAGGGGAGCTGTTATATTAGTCCATAAGTGATTTTAGTCCATATGTGTTTTGTGTCTCCCTCAATGGACGTTCCTTGGTTGTCCCTCAAATTTTATATTATCATGTTTCGCTAATATAAATTTATGCTGCATTGAAAAATACTCCTAGATTTATTTAATTTTGAGTCTGACTTGTGGTTACCTTGGCAGGGCCAGACGAAATGATTTCGCGGGCCTTATATGGGCTGCGGGCCAGACCTTCTCCTCCCCTGGTTAAAAATATATAAAGTTATACTGAAAAAGTTTTCTTGGAAGAATAGAGTTTTCTGTAAACGGAATTTTTGGGTACACTGATGTAGTTTTTGAATTTCATATTTCACATTATGAAAAATATACCATATTAACGTAACCAAACGTAATGAAACCTATACAATCATTAAGCAACCTTAACCTAACCTAACCATGGATAGAGAGTTGATATTATCACTAATTATGAAGTCGTTCCCAATCCATTCTCTTGAGTGGATCTCCCTGAGGACAGGTTGAACTATATACATCGAATTTTATTGGATAATAATATTAATTTATATATATATATATATGAGAAGAAGCCTATTTTTATTGCACAGTATGTTAAACTAATGACTGCGTCTTGAGAGACGGCCGCTCCAGTAACGAGCCTGCCCTGAGGACGGGTTGTTATGCTAATTCAATTATTTTCTTGTGGACAAATGATCAGAGGAAATTTTGACTTGTTTAAATACCAAATATATATGTTGTATTCTTTGTATTATTGATAATTATGGCTGAGACGTGACTTGCAGGGGTGGGCCACATGGACGACATCCAGTACCTGTTCAACACTGCGCCAACCATTCTCTCCCCCCTTCAACGACCCTCAGACCTCTTTATGAGAGACATCATCCTCACTCTCTGGACCAACTTTGCCGCCCATGGGTAAGATGCGCCCACTTCAATAATACGTTGAAATAACATTATTTTCGTTATTAATGTGAGTGGTTATTTATGTTTGGGGGAAGTAATCGAAATTGGAAAGATTGTTTAAATGGTATACTTGATTGTTTTCTTCGTTGAGATCTATATTGTATATGTTCAACTTTAAGAGGTAGAAATGTTACGAACTAAATTCGTATATCTCTGCTGGTGGCCAGGAACCCGACACCTGACGGCTCTCTGGGGTTCAGATGGTGGCCGACGACCAGGTCACACCAGTGGTACTTGGCCCTCACAACCTCACCCACCATGGTGGTCGACAACCCTGTCCAGGTGAGTCATCTCCTATCCCACCATGGTGGTCGACAACCTTGTCCTGGTGAGTCTCCTACCCCACCATGGTGGTCGACAACCTTGTCCAGGTGAGTCTCCTACCCCACCATGGTGGTCGACAACCCTGTCCAGGTGAGTCTCCTATCCCACCATGGTGGTCGACAACCTTGTCCTGGTGAGTCTCCTACCCCACCATGGTGGTCGACAACCTTGTTCAGGTGAGTCTCCTGCCCCACCATGGTGGTCGACAACCTTGTCCAGGTGAGTCACCTGCCCCACCATGGTAGTCGACAACCCTGTCCCGGTAAGGGACAGCTGGGCAATGAAAGCATAAACACATTGTTTGTCTTTACGTTAATTCATTGTTTTTGGGCTCTGCTATTTACTCAGTCACTCATATATTATATATTCGTTATTTGTTCGCAGCTTTCTTTAATGATTGCAACTTTCATTCCATCAGGTTTTAGAGTTCTGGAAGAACATACCCACGAAGCAAAATAAGCTGCTATACCCTGAGAGGTTCCTGGAGAGGGTGACCTGCTCGCAGCTTGACGAGTGCTAGATGTGCTCCAGGGGACTGGTGGCACCTGGTACCTCATACCCCCTGTTGACGCACACACTTGAGGACCCACACACCTGATGACGCACACACCCGATGCTACACCAGCTCAAAGCCAACAAAAACAACGCAAATGATACCAAGATTAAACTCATTCTACAACAAAAATGTATTTGTGAAGTTTTCTATCGGATTGCACTTTGAGGCTGGAGTCCGTGTACGTCAGGTTATTCTGTTTCCCAAGAAAAGCTCCCCAAATAAAGTCTACTTTTCTGCAAACTGTCAGTACTTAGCTTAGGTAAAGTACAGTACCAGTATTAAGAGTACACTAACTGTTAAGGTTTTAGCTGTTTATGTTGTTATTTTCACTGTGGAATTTTCCTCAAGTAAGAGCGTTTCCTGGGTGACAAGGGCGTAGCCAAATGTAGTCTCACACCCATGAATGCTTACTAACCAATTCTCACGTTTACTAAGTAATTTCTGCCATGAGATGAATGTTGAACTGCTACATAAACTGTAAATTTGGCTCAAATTTGTAAACAAAACTATATATGTTGAAATATAATTACCAAAATTCCCTGCATTATATTGTATAACTTTTCAACAATTATGATTCCATGAATACTTAAAGATATACACAGTACATAAAGTGTTATTTATGAAATGTCATTATCAAAAATTTACTAACAAAACACACCCGGCTCACGTGTATTACAAGAGATTAAAACTATTACAAGTCACGGTAGTGTATTGAACAAGCAATATTGAGTTGTTCCACTCCTCATCGTTGCCATTCAGACTTATTTGTTTATCACTCCTGAGTGTATAGGCCGGCGGGGGCTTGTTATGCAACTCATCCTGTGAGTGGATGTTTATTATCCAGTCCATACTCATCCTGTTGTAACGGGTAATGTACTTGTCCACTACCCTGTTCGTAGATCTTAACTCAAAGACCCCAGAGCCCTACTCTTCTAGCCCTCAGTCCACGTCTCGTGATCTTAGACGACTGATCGCCTTTTGATACTACGAAACACGAGACGTCGTACTAGGCTTCTAGCAATACTCTGGGACCTTTACTTGCTGCCACCACCAAACCAAAAAATAATTTAAAAGATTAATTAATCGTGGTTTGGGCCAATTAATTAACCATCAATTCCTTGGGGCTTAATCCCCAATTACTTGGAAAAGGGGGGAGGGGATGAATTTACGTGAAGTGTGGGAATTACCTTGAAAACAGAGGGGATATATCAGATATTAAAAATAGATTAGGCTTGCTTGCCATATGTATACCAGCTTAGTCCAAGCAACCCGACTCGTGGAGACCACGGCATAGACAATATATAAATTGGGAAAAAACTAAAAAATACTAATAATTACTAAAACAAAGTTTATTGAGCAAAACTATCAAAAGTGTAAATAAATAGGAACACTTCCTAAGCTGAACACTCCCTAACTTAAATATTCCCTAAGAGGCAGACATGAACTATTTAACTGTTCCAAACTCTTAGCATTTTACCGTAATCCAAGAAAACAGCCGATGGTGTTATGGCTGCTGGAGGTGAGATGGCGACCTCCCAACTCTGGCCTGTTCTCTGATAAAGACTGAGGCTACCTAATATCAATCCGCCATGCCTCTAAGGCTTATTAAATTACCAAGCAGAGTTTAAATTAAACAAGCTAATTTAATCTACTAGCCAACCCAGATGGTTGAATTCTTATTTAAACTGACGGTAATTGTATAGGCATCTTGGCAAAAGCTATATCCCATTACAATATTGACTAGTGACCTGAATTTATACTTAATGAATTAAATAATATAGGAAGCTGTGGTCACGTCTGCCGCGTGACCTCTTGACCCAAGGTGGTCACGAGGCTAAGCTTCCGAAACTAGACCCTATACTGAACTGATGTCACTGTCTTTTTGACGGTATACGGGCCCTGATCTTTTACTCTACATACATTTTAGCCTACCATACATACTTAATCCAGATTGGTTATTACTGTATTTCTTTAACTATCCATTACTTGTTGAATTAATACAAGGGAGACGGCCATCTTGTATTCTAAACGTGTTAATCCTTTTAATCTCTGGGGAGATGACCCATCCTCACATCCCAGGTAAGAATCCTCTCTTCACTATAACTTGTGTGAGACCACGTGGTCTCAAATAATGTCTATGATCTGAGAAATTATAATTTCTAAGAAAACAAGCTTAATTTGTTACAACCCCCCCCTAATTTCGGAGACTTGAGGCAAAGTGAAATTCACACCAGTTACTCCATCTATCATCATTCTATTATGCATGACGAACCGCACGTCTATGGGTCATCCAATAATGTTAGCAGACTTCTAGATGTTACCACTGCTAGGCTTAGGCTCGGCCACAAGTACCTCTGGGAGTTTGTAACATCTGCTGATGTAGATTTGACTAAATGTAAACTCTGTCAGCAGAACTATTCGCATACTTTGCGTCATTATGTATGAGAAAAAATTGCGGAATTTAGAGATAACACCATCAAGAAATGTCCAAGAAATGTGTAAGTACTTCATTCATAATGATGTGCTGCCCGAAATCTTAGCGAAGTATCCAAAATTTGCTTACTGTTGGTAATGCATGAACATGACTGTAAAGCTGCCGCCCAGTTGGGTGAGTGTGCAGCAAGACTAGTAACTGTGTGACTCACCATAGATGTAAAGTGCCTTGTATAGTGACTGTTGTGAGCCTCTTGTAATGTCACTTGTGACACCTCTTTAGTAGTGAAATATGTGACTACGGCGACGCGCACCAGCTGCCCAGGTGGCACTCTTGAGTGCCATCTGAGCAGGTGTCGCGCGTCGTCGTAGTCGCAGCGCGTCGTCGCAGAGGGTTTTTTTTTGGATTTTCCTGGAAGTTTTGGCGTGTTTCGGACGCGTGTGAGCGTCCTGTGTTTGGGTAAGTTGTCAGGAAAGAGAGTAAGTTATGTTGTTGGATGCCAGGTGGTGCGCGTCGTCATCGTCGCAGCGCGTCGTCGTCGTCGCGGAGGGTTTGGGAGGGGAATTTCCCGGAAGTTTGGCGCGTGTCGGAGGCAGTCTTGAGTGGTGGGTGAGCAGGTGTACCGCATCGCTCTAGACACAAAGGGAAGACGTATGAAAATACAAGGATAAGAGTGGAATATGAGGAAGGAGTTTGTCATAGACTTAATCCTGTGTGATGATGATGATAATAGTTTGATGATCGTGAGTAGAGGATGAGAGGGGATCCAACATAGTGTATATGATGTTTGGAGAGGGGGGGAGAGGAGAACCCCCATACCTGAGAGGAACGCCTGGACATCCATTAGCTTCCCTACAGGAAGTCGTAAGTGTCGAGAGCGAGAGAGCACCCTCCTGCGGAAGTGGGGCCATTTGTCTAAAGGGTTTTCGTTGTCTTCAGAGTGGAGATGTTCGCCCCACGCCGGGTCCTCATACACTGTGGATTCGTTAAGGAGGGGAGCGAAGTACATATGACAGACCCACACCTGTCAGCCATCAATCACTCCCACCCCTCATCCCCACCCGCTCCCATACCATCAACTATTGTTCTGTGCATTTCCTTTTAGTATGTGTAAGCTATATCGTAACGTGACCAACATGGTGAGAGCAATAACGAGGGAAAAGTAAACACATTATATAAATTTGTTTCTTTATTAAACACTTAAGCGATTTACAACGATAATAATAATAATAATAATAATAATAATAATAATAATAAGACTTCTTCTTGGTGGTTTAGCTAGCAGACAGATGTAGAAAGGCTTTCATTCAGTCCATCGAACCTTCCCGACACGCTAGTCAATCAGTCAATCTGTAGAAAGGGGAAAAGGTTATAAGTTTTGTTGTTGTCAATGTTGTAAACATAAATACAGACATTATTATGCTCATCATTCAATCCTAACACAAAGTATTACTCACCGCACTATCATCCTAGTCAACTTCGTCACACAGCGTTTCACAATCAGCATCACTACCGTTTAAGCAGAATGTTTGCTTACACACAGGCATTTTCATCTGAGCGTAATTGAATTTCAACACTTTTTCATCATTCTTGCGAAATTGACCATATTTAAATGCTTCATCAAAGTGAAGCAGGGCGGCCTCTAAGCCTAGTCTGCAAAAATGATATGCAAAATAAACGGCGTAATTCCCACAGAAGTAACTATTCAAGGATTGAATCCTTTTCTTCATAATATATAGGGTATAGTCTTGGAAGTAAGACATAAACTCTTCGAAATATCTTGAATAAGATCCTATTGCAGGATTGGCATAGCTGTCTAGTATAACTATCTCGCTTCTACCTTCATCCTTATTTACATAGAATGTTATCCAATGGCCAATTTTATTACGAGAACCAGAGTCCAGAGTGTTCATTATGAACACCACAGGTCTTTTTTTTATGTATTTTTATCCTTATTTTCCGTACGTCATCAGCTAGGAAACATCCTAGATAGTCTACCCTAGCACCTAAATTACTTCTGATAGCCTCATTTATTTCCAAACAATTCATATTAGTATTTTATCCTCGCGTATCGCAAATAACGCTACGATCCGCGTTAATGCTGATCACACCTGTTGTAGAGCCGTAAACTAGAATGACTTTATTTCTAACCACTCCGCGTTTAAATTCCAAAGCGATCCGCAGATTACCACTTTTTTCAATCGGGATGGTGTCATCGATATCCTCGGGTTGTAAATTAAAGGCCAGTATGGTTCCACCATTCACATATGTGTCATAAGATAATATATTGTCTTTATCGAAGCCTAAGGCTTGTAATGCTGTGTAATACAACTTGGCGCAGTTATGAGGGAAGTCGCACCCAATATTGACAATATTAGTGCTATTCTGCGATATTAATACTTTACTAAGCTCGCAGTTTTCCAAATAAAGCGGGTTGCGATTATATGCACCAGACACTGCCTCCATATCAAGGATGATCATATATAAATGTTCTGGTATAACAGTCCCCCACGGCTGGTCCATTGTTATAGAGCGCTGACCTGTGCCCAATATATACGTTTTGTATAAAGTTTTATTAAAAGTATACGTAATAGGAGAGTTGTTCTGCACCATGGCTTTATTAATGGCTACTAATCCTTCAGGGTATGGCAATACCCGATCCACCCATAGACGTGTAGACTTGATATTATATTTAAAATTAGCGTGTTCATTATCGCTGAGTATAAGCCACTTATCAGGTTGAAGTTCGAGCCTCACCCTGATGTCCACATTATCCAAAACGTATTCACTAACGGATGTGACATCCAGCATTAGTTTAAAACAAGTATTCACACCAATCATTTTCATATCAGTCATCCGCTGCTTCTCACTAGCCGAGGCATTAGTGAAATAACCAGCTTCAATTTTACCAGGATCGACTCGGTTAAAAAACTGTGACAGTTTATCATAGCGGTTAGCCTTACACCCAGAAATCGTAGATAATAACTTTACGTATGACCAGAATGAGAATAATGAGCTGGTTTCAACTACTGTTTCGTTTAAATACACAATAGCGGATTTGAATAGAGTTTGCGATAATCCATTCACCAACGATGCGTTTTTAGCATCTC